GCCACAGTTCCACTTCCGGCTTTTTTCTTTTTGCTTATGTGGTGCTGAGGAATTGAACCCAGGGCCTCAGGCATGCAAGGCAAGCCCTCTACCACTGAGCCACCTTCTCAGCCCCTGACTATTTTCCTTACAGGGAAAAATAGACATAGCCAAAGAATGGGGTCAATATAAGGTTACACTATCTTCATGGTAAAATACTAAATGTTGCTCTGAACAGTCTCCTTTAATGTAATATATATTCATGTCTACTTTAATGTAATATATATTCATGTTTTATACAAAATATTAAAATAACTAGGTCCTACATTTATTTTCTTTCCTCATCTAATTTCAAAAGCAGAGTTTAAATTTCTTCTCTTTTGTGGTTTCAAAAGAATGAGTTTTAGAAAAAGGCCAGAAATGTCTGACAGAGAAGCCTATAGACATATGTATATATGAAACAAAACAATATCAGAAGAATGAGTACCATTCTGATGACTGTTTTTGAATGATAAACTCATTATCAATGTATGTGGAACCCAAAGGACACATACCTGAAGGCTTAATGTTATTCTTCAGAAAAAAGTCAAATTATTTAGAAATGTGAAAGTATCTTTGTCCAAATAAGTGGCCTAGAAACTCAAATGGGCAATTTAGGAATACATATCACATTTTTTAATGTGCATGCTCTCTAACTCCACAATTTTACTTTCAGTAACTTAAGGAAATATACAAAGTACAAATGAATGTGGATGTTTACTACAGCATTTCTTATAAGTAGTAAAATTTGAAAAACAACTAAAATGTATGTCATCTAGAGACTGGAAAAAATATTGCACATCTGTTAAGCTAAATATGGTTACATGCATTTCTTCTGAAAAAAGATACTGACATTATTAAATTAAAAACAAGATACTTAGAACAATGCTGTAATAAAATATTTTAAATGGATCTATCTAGCTAAGCTGGACACTAGTGTCTCACACCTGTAATTCTAGCTACTAAGGGAGGTAAGATCTAGAGGATGTAGGTTTGAAGCCAGCCTAAGAAGAAAAGTCGGAGAGACTTCATCTCCAAAAATAGTCAGCCAAAAGCTGCGTGATGGTGGCTCATGTCTATAATCCTAGCTACTTAGGAGGCTGAGATCTGAGGATTGTGGTTCAAAGCCATCTTGAGCTTGGGCAGGAAAATCCGTGAGACTCTTATCTTCAATTAATCACCAGAAAACTGGAAGGAGAACTGTGGCTCAAAGTAGTAGAGCCTTAACATAGAACAAAAGAGCTAAGGGATAGCACCTAGGCCCTGAGTTCAAGCTCCGGGACTGACAGAAAAAAAAAAGCTGTGTTGGGGGCAGGGCTCATGGCTCAAGTGGTAGAGTGCCAGCCAAGTAAGCTCAGAGCCTTGAGTTCAAATCCCATTACCAGCAACAACAAAAAGAAAAAAAAGAGGATCTACCTATATAAACTTACATAATCAGTAAGTCTGCTTAATAAATGATTACGACGTTAATAAAAAAAAAGTCTCTATGGCTATACACAATACTGTTAACAGTACTGCTTGTAAAATGAAAAAAAAAACAGATTTTCTTTCTTTTTCTTTCTTTTTTTTTTTTGGTGCCAGTCCTGGGCTTGAACTCTGGCCCTGGTTGCTATCCCTGAGCTTTTTTGCTCAAGGCTAGAGCTCTACCATTTGAGCCACAGCTCCACTTCTGGCTTTTTTTTTTTTCCTTTGGTGGTTAATTGGAGTTAAGAGTCTCATGGACTTTCCTGATCAGGCTGGCTTCAAACCTCAATCCTCAGGTCTCAGCCTTCTGAGTAGCTACAATTATAGACATGAGCCACCAGTGCTGGGCTTCTTTTCACTTTTTAATGCATACATTTCTATATAATTTGAATTTTTATAGTAAACTTATAGAACTTTATATTAGTAAAAAATTTCCATTTTGACGACAAAACTTCCAAGCATCTTTTACCTTAAAAAATTTTTTTTGTACTTGTCATATTACGCCATCTCCTCTTCCTTAGGGCTCAACCTAAGTATTCCTAATACCTAGAGAAGTTTGTTACCTTTTAGCTCAAGGGTATTATTTTTAGTTCTTGATCTCCTTTGGATTCATAATCTTTCTTAGAGGCACATCAGCTATTTATATTACAGTACAGAAACTGATATCTTATTTTGTCTTTCAAACACCATTGAAACATCAACAAGACGGTTGATATATTCATCTAAATATTTGGGAACTAATACATCAAAGTTTAAACACAATAAATTTTTTTTCAAATTTAACCAGTCACAATAAACCATTTCACATATCAAAAACAACTGAGACAGAAGTGAAGGTATGACTCAAGTGGCAAAGGACCAACCAGCCTGATTAAAAAATGAACAAGTGAGGGGCTGGTTCCAGTCTTGCACAGGCAATCCTAGTTATTCCCAAGGCTGAGATCTGAGGATGGAAGTTAAAATCCAGCCCGATAGAAAGTCCAAGAGACTCCAACCAGCAAAGTGACAGGCAATAGATATGGTTCAAGTGTGAAAAGTGCCAGCTGTGAGAAAAAAAAGCTTCAGGAGAACTACAGGCCCTCATTTCAAGACCCACTGTGTGTACACGTACACACACAGACACAGACACACACACACACACACACACAGAGGTATGAGATAAGTTTAAAAACTTTTAAAGTAATTCATAACTTTCTTTTTGTGTTCCCATTAGCATAATTTCTCATCTTCTGTTTAACCAGAGACATAATATATCTATAGCACATCACAAGTCACAAAGTACAAAAAATAAAAACTATTATTTTGCATATCCCACAAGGAGTTTAAGTGGAATATGCTCAAACTACAACATCTAAAAAATGGGAGTGAAGAAGACAATGATGGGACCAGAATAAGTCATACGCAGATGCAAAAATGCTGAGAATAATGAGAAAAAAAATGTAGGAAAAGGAGATAACTGAAACCTTTTTCTTTAGCTCAAAAGCGTAAAACTAATGACCATAGATAGAAATATTAGGGGGATAAGTGTCCAGTTTAAGATTGTTACCCGATTATTTCCAAAGGTTTACTAACGATACTGCAAATACCAGAAAGTATATTTTAAAGTAAAAGCATAATCTTAGCACTATTACATATATTGTGCCATCAATTCAAAAAGTAGGTAGCAGGCTACCTTTCCAGTACACTGCAGGTGCTGTCCTGGCACGGAGAGGGAGGTCACAAACATGGTAAAGCAGCGAAGCAAGAATACAGTGCCCATCAGACTACAGAGCCTTCGAAGAAGAATTGACCTGTGAACAAAGTGACCAAAGGGGGAAGATCAGAAGAAACCACACCAAAAACAAAACAAAAAGCGCAGTCATTAAATGCTTGCCTAAAGAGAAAGCAAGCAGAAAAACTACTAGTGTTTTGAAGAGGTCCAGGATGTTAAGAGATAATCAAGCATCATTATCCCACAAAATTCTTCAGTGATAGAAATGTTCTAACTACATTGTCCATTCATAGAGCTGCACTGGCTCTTAAGTACTTAAAATGAGGCTAATATAACTAAGAAATTAAGCTTGAAAATTTTATTTCATTTTAATTAAATCCAATAGCTGCATGTGGCTAGTGTCTGACATGTTGAATTTAAGTTAGATCCTTTATGGTTAAGTGAATGTAAGTAAGAGGTAAAATGCTGCTCAGATTTACTGGCTATCTAATACTCAGTTTTCCTAACTTAAACATAAGCTATAAAATAATAAGCCCTTTTTTAAAAAACACCAAGTTGTTGTTGTTGTTGTTGTTGTTTTGTTTTTTTTTGGCCAGTCCTGGGCCTTGAACTCATGGCCTGGGCTCTGTCCTTGAGCCTCTCTACACTCAAGCTAGAGCTTTAACCCCTTGAGGCACAGCGCTACTTCTAGCTTTTTCTATTTATGTGGTACTGAGAAATCGAACCCAGGGATTCATGCATGCTAGACAAGCACTCTATCACAATCCACATTCTCAGCCCTAAAAAGCACCAAGTTTTTTGTTGTTGTTTTTGTCAGTCGTGGGGCTTGAACTCTGGGCCTCAGTGCTGTCCCTCAGCTCTCTCTTCAGCTCAAGGCTAGCACTCTACCACTTGAGTCACAGCGTCACTTCCAGTTTTCTGGTGGTTTATTGGAAATAAGAGTGTCATGGAAGTTTCCTGCCTGGGCTGGCTTTGAACAGTGGTCCTCAGATCTCCTGAGTAGCTAGGATTATAGGCGTGAGCCACAGATGCCCAGCGAAAGTACTAAGTTTTATAGTAAGTATATCTGAAAGAAATTGTTGATTATTGTAATTGGGTAATCATGAACTACACGAACTACACATTGAGACTCTCTCTTCCTTCCCCCCTCCTGTATTTTTTTTCATAAAAACAATGTCAATGCATTTATTGTCACCTGATAATAATGTAAGTTATTAAAACTGTATGAACAGTAGTGTCTCAATAACAAGGCTCATCAAAATAATATAAACAGATGTGTTCATTATTTTCCCAGCAAAGAACACTTTATGTATAGGATTCTTTTTTGTATGTGTTCTGGTCCTGGGGCTAGAACTTAGGACCTAGGCTGTCCCCTGGAGCCTTTTTGCTCAAGGCTAGCCCTCTATCACTTAAACTCTACTTCTAGCTTTTTTTTTTTTGCTGGTTGTGGGGCCTGAACTCCGCCTGGGCACTGTTCCTCAGCTCAAGGCTCAAGGCTCGCCCTCTTACCACTTGAGCCACAGTGCTACTTCCAGCTTTTTCTGCTTATGTGGTGCTGAGGAATCAAACCCAGGGCCTCATGCATGCAAGGCAAGCACTCTACCACTGAGCCACCTTCCCAGCCTCTATTCTAGCATTTTTGGTAGTTTATTGACCATAAGAGTATCCCAGACTTTCTTGTCCCAGATGGCTTTGAACTGGGAGCCTCAAATCTTAGCCTCCTTCGTAGTAGTAGCCTCCTAGGATTACAGGTAGGAGCCACCAGCACCCAGCCCAGTTGTTTTTTTGAGTTTGTTTTAGACTGAATTTTGTTTGTATTATCTAACATAAGGTTCATATACCATAAGGTTCAAAACCAGTAATACAGCCCCCTATCCTCATATTCACTTGTTTACAAAGCCACACCTGAATCTGAAATCTGTTTTTGTAAGATGTGAAGATGAGGTTGATGAGCTGCACCATTTGACCCTGGCTGCAGTATGTTCTTTCTCCTAAATTCAAATGAACTGAGATGTGGGGAATCTTTTTCTTTTATATGTTTAAAAATGACCCTCCCCATGGGGCTGGGAAGGTGGCTCAGTGGTAGAGCACTTGCCTTGCATGCATGAGGCCCTGGGTTCGGTTCCTCAGCACCACATAAGAAAAAAGTCGGAAGTGGCGCTGTGGCTCAAGTGGTAGAGTGCTAGCCTTGAGCTGAAGAGCTGAGGGACAGTGCCCAGGCCCAGAGTTCAGG